AGTTGCTTAACCTGTAAGCATCTTTGCTTATCTACAAAGCCACACCTCCCCTGCAGGATTGTGTATGTAGAGTCCTAGGCACACAGCAGGCACACATTAGATGGTGCTGACTATTGCATCTTCTTACACCTGTAGTAGGTTGAATAGGGTCCCCCCAAGAGTCATGTACACCTGGAACCTTAGCATGTGACCTTAATTTGGAAATAGGGTCTTTGCAGATGTAATTAGTTAAGATGAGGTCATACTGGATTAGAATGGGTCCTAAATCCAATGACTGGTGTCCTTATAAGAAGAGAAGAGGACACAGAGACAGAGAAGAGAAGGCCAGGTGAAGAGGGAGGCAGAGATGGGAGGATCCGACCACAAGCCAAGGACATTAAGAGCCACCAGGAGCTGGAAAGGCAGGAGGACCCTCCCCTAGAGCATCCAGGTGGAAAGTGATTCTGCCAACAGCTTGATCTCAGACTTTTGGCCTCCAGAACTGTGAGAGAATAACTTTCTGTTGTCTAAGTGACCCAGTCTGTGTAATTTGTTATGGCAGTCATAGGAAACTGGTACATCTTTCCAGTATGTAACATACACATATCTTAGCATGGAAGCAAAATTTTGCTTTAAAGGTATGACACACACTCTTGGACCTACATATTTTTAAGTCGAGCCTAAAGTTGAAAACACACAGCTTACGAAAACACACAGGACCCATGCATGTGGGTTTTTCTCCATTCTAGAAAACAGAACACAAACAGGACAACCTTTTTATTATTTGTGGAATAATTGTGCCCCTTCCGTTGCTAATTTGGACTTTGTGAGCTCTTCACAACTGTTTCCACATACTCTTGCTGTCTAGGCACTGTCTGCATTCAGGGCAAATAAAACCCCTGCCTTTGGAAGCTGATGTTATAGTGGGTAATGTATATAAAGTTGGAAATTACGTTCATTCCCCAGATTCTCATCAGAATTTCTTTTTTTACTTTTTCTTTCTTTTTTTTTTTTTTTGTCTTTTGTCTTTTTTCCGTGTCCGGCAATGGATCGCAACC